CCCAGCACACCAGTTTAAACTCAGAATCCCTGCAGGACCCAGCACACCAGTTTAAACTCTGAACCCCTGCAGGACCCAGCACACCAGTTTAAACTGTGAATCCCTTATCTTGCAAGGCCAGTTAAAAGTCTTTTAACATTTTGTTTTCTTCAAATTGTTAGAAACTCCGTATGTTTACATATACGTCTGTCACTAATACCTAAATCTTTATAATAAAAGAGGTCAATGGCAGGTAATTGGGCTGTTTACTGTATCTCAAGGAAACTGACTCACAGGAAATCAGATTAATGTTAATTAGTTGCAGCAAATTGTCTATGATAAATACAACTGTTTGACTCTTTCAGTTGGTAGAGCCAGGCAAAACAAGGTCTAGGGCCACCATTCCCATTAATCTCCAGGCAGTTACACTGTGAGGGTAAACTTTATAAAATAGATTGCCCTCCAAAGCCATCCTCCCTCACTTGGTGCTCAGCCTGCCTGTAGGAATTGCTCCCATGGCTAAATACTTATTTGCATGGTTCAATTAGCTTGTGGGTCAGCCTTTCTCATCTTTGTAAATAAAACAATCTATGCTATGTGGTTTGGCAAAAATATACTGTGAGGACATAATACATATGCACACCCAAATTCATCTTTAACATCCCAAAGCAGACACTTCTGCAGAACTGCCTTGTGTTTCACCTTGGACCAGTGTGTGGAGAGAAGCACATACCAAGGCTTACAGGAGATTCACACGTTGACTAGCAAGCCCTGAGGGAATTATGGGCATCTCTTTTATCCTAGGGAGGCTGAAATGAAAGTAGCAGTGCTTTTCCTATGTGCTGTGTTAGGAAGCACGAGCATGTTTTCTCTCTTCACTCCTCACCACCTCTCTGGGAGGGTAGAAGCATCCTCCTTCATAGGTGAGGAAACTGGGCCACCATGCAGACCCTCTGGCCCCGCCTCTGGTGCCCCTTGGGGTTTGTAAAGCTCTCCGGACATGGGGACTGTGATATGTCTGGAGACATAAAAATCCCTCTTCTTATGTCTCACTCCAAATTGGGTGAAATCAGTCATTGATTTTAATACATTTCCACCAGGTACATTTTCTGCATCAAGCAATGGGTTAGAGGCTAGACTCAGAGATGAGTGAAACCAGACCTCCCTGGCCTAGCCCTTCTTGCTCAAGAAGCCAACACTTAGAGCATTGGAAAGCCCGGTGGGCTTCTGAGCCCTGGGACTGGAGAAGTGAGGGTCCCAAAATCCATTACAAGATCAAAGAGAACAGCAGGTAACTGCTGGAAATACCCAGTCACGGGCGAAGGGCCTGTCCACATACCGCTCGATGCACAAGCACATGTGTGCTTACTTGAGAGTACAAGTGTGTTCACAAGCGTGTGGAGCCCATGGGCCTGCTGGGGACGTGGGGATGGGTATAAGGCTTCCACTAGGAGTGTGCAAGTGGTACGGGAGTCTCTAAGTCTATTGGACCAGGTGGCCTTGAAAACCAGGTTTGGGCTTTTCTGTAGCCTGCAAACTGAACAATGTCCTTGTGCCATTCCCTGGGCAGAAGTGGAGGTGGGAGCGGATGGCTTTCTAGAGAAGTGAAGAAGTACTGTCAGGCTGAGTCTCCCAGGTAGGGTGAAATGCGTGCTGGTGCCTGGAGAAAGGAGGGGCCCCCCAACCAGGCACTTCCCACATAGTGTCTCGTTTAATGCCTGTGGAGCTCTACCAGGGGTGCTATTCTCTTATTTTCCCATGGGGACTGTGGGGTTTGAAGAAGCAACACCACCTGTCCAGAGCTAGGGTTTGCCCTGGGAAGTCCCCATGTGCCACATTCAGCAGCCACTAGTGTCAGACAGGCTCTGGTGAACTTGGGCAATCAGGCCTGCAGTATGAGGCCCCATCTGGGGCAAGTTGACCAGGGAAATCACCCCTGCTTGCGGCTCTCCCGTCCATGCCTCAGTTCACTGGGCCACCTGAATATGGGGGTCCTGTGAAGTGAGTGTGTGTGTGTGTGTGTGTGTGTGTGTGTGTGGCATGCGTCACAGACTGTGTGTGGTACTGTCTGTGTCCATGGATCATGGGGTTGGAGGTGAGGAACAGGAAGACCCCCTTTTCTCCACCTAGGCTGGGCTGGGCCTGGCGGCACTAATAGGGGCAAACAAAGCACCTCCCTGGGAGGGCAGCTGTCACAGTGAAGTTTCTGGAGCCCAGCAGCATGGATTTGAATCCTGGCAGCTGAAGTTCTAAGGGCAGGCCTGGGCATGTTCTCCACATGTACTTTATCATGGGTAGAATTCTGCCTGGGCTTGGGTGTGCCCGTGTGCCCCCGTGGGTGTATTCCCAACTCCCAGGCTCTGCCCTTCTCAGCTCTGGCTGCAGTCTCCTTAGTTTTCCTGGCCATGCAACCCACTCTGGGTTTGAACACCCCCAGGTTCTGGAGCCCAACTTTTTTTTTTTTTTAGACGGAGTTTCGCTCTTGTTACCCAGGCTGGAGTGCAATGGCACGATCTCGGCTCACTGCAACCTCTGCCTGCTGGGTTCAAGCAATTCTCCTGCCTTAGCCTCCTGAGTAGCTGAGACTACAGGCACGCGCTACCATGCCCAGCTAATTTTTGTATTTTTAGTAGAGACAGGGTTTCACCATGTTGAGCAGGATGGTCTTGATCTCCTGACCTCGTGATCCACCTACCTTGGCCTCCCAAAGTGTTTTTGTTGTTGTTGTTGTTTTGAGAGTCTGGCTCTTGTCTTCCAGGCTGAAGTGCAGTGGCATGATCTCAGCTCACTGCACTGCCTCCCAGGTTCAAGTGACTCCCCAGCCTTAGCCTCCTGAGTATCCGGGATTACAGCTGCTTGCCACCACACATGGTTAATTTTTTAGTGTTTTTAGTAGAGACAGGGTTTCACCATGTTTGGCCAGGCTGGTCTCAAACCCCTGACCTCAGGCAATCCAACCTGCTCGACCTTCCCAAGTTCTAGGATTACAGGCGTGAGCCACCATGCCCAGCCCAGAGATGGATTTGAATCCTGGCTTCACCTCCTACCAACTGTGTAATCTTAGGCAAGAGACTTAAGGAAGGAGCCTGTCCCCTTGCTCCCTGTTCTCGGAACATCCTTTGTATCCTCTCCCCCAGTGATTGCCTGTCCTTCAAGGCCAAGCGCAGATCCCTGTGCCCTCTGTCAGAGCCCAGCCCTGCCAGTTCCCTTGTGCAGCAGTTTTTGTCCCTACTGGACATCCCAGCAGAGGCCCTACAGGATCGGGAAAGTGAGGAGCCGGTGGGGGGGGGGAGCAGGGAGGAAGCAGGGGGCATGGGGAAGGGTGTGCCAGGGAAGCTAGAGAGGCAGGAGGCAGGAGATGCTGGCTCTGTAGCTGGTCCCAGACTCTCTCTCGAAATGCCCATGGTGACCTCCCACGGAAGGTGTAATTATCATCTCCATTTCACAGGTGAGGAGACTGGAGCCACTTGGCCAAATACGCAGAGCCAGAATGTCAGTCTGAAGCCTAAACTCACGTT